GGCTGCAGCAATGCTCCATAGCTGTGGTTCTCAATCTTTGGTGGATACGAGAATCTCCTGGGGAACTTAGGAAAAAACAAAATCCAGGGCTGACTTACCTCACTGAGCTACGTCTCTATTTTTTCAATCATCTGTCCAGATTATTGCGATATCCACCAAAATGTTTGAATCACTGCTTTATGGTATGGAAGGCAAAAACAAGGGTCTAGAATCAGGCTCATGTGGGTCCAAATTCCTCTCTGAGCCTTGTTTCTACTTGTAAAGTGAGGATGTGATTAGTACCTGCTTCCTAAGATTTATGTTACGCAATGAGACAATGGATACAAAATGCTTATTATTTTTCTAATTGTAACTATTAGTGCAACTTTTTATTGGACCAAGTAGAAATCTGCCTGACATCAGGATTTTTGACAACTACTTGGAAGACTAACTTATTCATATTGATCTATTCATTCATTGGATAAATGTTTATGCCACTGGTTTATTAGAATTTTAGTAGCAATATGAGATTACATGTACATAGAAGATGGTCCATTCATATTTGTTGATTTTGAAGACTAGTGGTCCTGGGATATTTGGTAATGCTGGAAGGACTTCACTATTCCTGAGGCCCAGCACATGCTGTTCCATCTGGAAAAATGTCCAACTTCTGCCCCTCCCCCACTCCCCGTTAAAACCTATTTTTCCCTTTTCTCATCCATGTATCTACTCCCTCCAGGAAGCCCTCTGATTCCGAGACAGTTCTCTCCCCCTCTGTGCTCCCCAAGCACCACGTACCCTTCCTGCACGGAAACCATCATTGCGGTAATTTTATACTTATTTAAATGATACTTTTTAAGTCTACCTTTCCCACCAGCCTGGCTATAAATCCCACGAGGGGCCACATGGGTTTTAATCCCAAGATTTGCGAGCGCAGAGAATAGTGCCTGTCACAGAGTAAATGCTCAGTAAATATTTAATGGATGAACATGTTTATTGAACAACCAACTGTTAATATTTTACTTGATCAGACACAATGCTGAGGACTTTACAAATAATAACTTGCTTAACCCTCACAACAACTCTATTAGGTAGGTAATAAGATTAACCCTTTGCTATAGGTGAGGAAACTGAGACACAGAATAGCTGAGTAACCTGCTCAAGGTCATACAGGTAGAAAGTGGCAAAGCTGGGTTCAAGCCCACGCATTGGAACTCATGTCTATGTTCACCACTACACTCTGTGGCTTCCCTAATGACAGGAAGAGAGTGCGGATCTCATACAGGCTGGCAGTTCAAGTCTCTAGGAAACCACTCAAAAGCAAGTATATGCTATCTTAGTACCTGGCCTAGGGCTCCGCGTTTGCCCTTCAGGGTGTGTGGAGCTTCAGAGGAGGTAGAGAAGACACAGAGCTGTTTCAGGTTAGCTTCATAGAAACACTGAGTCACAGCACCAGCGTTGAAGTTCTGAGGTAGGGAGCCCAGAGTGATAACAGGAGACGCAGGTGAGGACTTCAGTCTTTGGAAGCTGCAAAGGGGCCAGTGCAACGATGCTCAGGGCTGCATAGATAGAGTGAGCACACCAGGAAAATTCATGGATAGATTAATAGAGCATGCTCTGCCTGCCCCGGGCTATCTGCAGGCTATGGGATGGCAAGGCAGGGCTCCTGTCATACCCAGCAGGGTACTAAGCAAGTCTCAACTACAGAAGCAAAGTGAAAACCCTCTCATCTGACCAAGGCAAAAATTGGAGGATGAGAGAGTGACAATACTGAGACCTAGCAAGTTGGGCTGGAACGGCTGAAATCCCACCTGTCGAAGTTCAGGATTTGCTCTGGAGTCCCGCTTTGCAGAGTATGGCCACCAGGAGTATCCTCTGGGGCTTGTTAAAAATGCAGGATTTGCCTTAGAACCCTGCTTCTTAGGGGCTGGGCGGCATGAACACCACCTGGGGCTTGTTAAAAATGCAGCATCTTTGGTTCCACCCCCGACCTCCTGAATCGAAATCTGCATTATATGAGATCTCTAGGAAAGTCATATATAAATGCATTTGGGAAGCGAGAACAGCGCTCAGTCTATAGGTGAGGGTGGCCAGCAGCCCCACTGTAAGAAGGAGGAAGCTGGGAAGCAGCCAGATATGTTAGTGAAAAGGTCAGAGGATTTGCTAGGAAAGTCCATGCCTCGTCCACTTCCTGGCACAGTGCACGAAGACAGCCTCTGTAGTGCTTACATTCTTTCCACAAATCTGTTGGTTCTCACTTAGAAGAGAGGGGAGAGGAAGTGGCTGCTGCTTTCCCTTCCTTTTCTTCTCTTCCAAATGTTCCACAATCACCTACCTTCACGTTCTCCAGCTGCAAACTAGTCCTTCCTTCATCAACATGCTTTTGCCTTCCCGGCAGACACAGGTTGAAGAGAGAGGCTTTTGGAAGCAACAGACTTTCTCAATGATGAAGTTTCCTCTAAATATATTTTCTTCTGAGCTGCGGAATGTATTTATCTGTGTTACAAATTGAGCCATTTGAGTAGTTTCTACTATGAGTTTGGCTCTGGGTTCAGACCTGTGGCATGTGGCTGAAGAATTTGTTTCTGAAGCCCTTTGTGTTCTGTTGAGGATGCTAGTTCCTTAAGAGGGCCTTGTCGTTTGGCTGTTGCACAGAGAAGGGCTCAGGGTGCTGCAATAATGAATGAGTGTTTCAGTTGTCTGTGGCTTCATAGCAGACCACCTCAAATGTAGCAGCATAAAAGAAAAATCAGGGGCCAGACCTGTGGCATAGTGATGAACTTCAATGTGCTCCGCTTTGGTGGCCTGGGTTTGTGGGTTCAGATCCCAGGCGTGGACCCACACCACTCATCAGCCATGCTGTTGCAGCTACCCACATGTAAAGTGGAGGAAGACTGGCAATAGATGTTAGCTCAGGGCTAATCTTCCTCAGCAAAAATAAAAAGACAAATCACCACACTTCTGCAATTGGGGCTGGTATCAGCTAAGTGATTCTACTGCAATCAGCTGAGGGGCTCGAATGAGCAAAAAGAGTTTGCTGAGAGGCCTGGGTCTGGCTGGGCTCCTCTTTCCACATGACCTCAGATCCCTCAGTCAAACCTCTTAGAACATGGCAGCTGGATTCCAAGAATAAGAATTCCACAAGGACGAGCCACAGTGGCACGGGGTTTCCCAGCCTCTGCTTGCCCTGTACCTGCCACTGTCCTATGGATAAAGACGCAATATGTAAAAGGGGACTATGCGAGGGTTTGAAGCCCAGGAAGCATGGTCCATCACAGGCCACCAATGTCACAATCTACCACTGTTGATCTGGCTTTTTTTTTTTTGCGGGCAAAGATAGAGAGAAAAGTGAAAGATCGCTAGTCAACATGTGTGAATGGCTATGTGTGTACTTAACCAAGTGTGTACAGGTAGTGATCTTAAAAACATGGAGGACTCATCTCTCTTTCCCCCAAAGTTTCCCCTTTATTTAGGAATATTATATTATTCTACTGAACAGTCATCTGGAGGCAGGGATGTGGGAGAACAGTGAGGCAGGAGGAGGACTTGCAGCCAGACAGATTAATCAGTCAATATTGATACCAGAATGAGATCAGATGCTACAGCCAGGATACTCTCCAGTCAGTTAAGGCAGTGGCTAGAAAAGGGTAGTTGGCTGGGTACCTGGTCAAGACTATCATGTTCTGACAACAGCCTGGAAAATGACCTAAGAGATGAAGAATATTATTTTTATTTTCCCTAAAATGCTTTGTAGTCTCCTTTGCTTTATAGCTTTCTTTTTCCTTCTTTTTTTTTTCACTCTGTCTTGTTATTTCCAAATTTCTATTTATAGTAGGCTCACTCTATGTCCACAATGTCAGACTATGAATTCCATGCTGGGAATGTAGTGGTGAATAAAATTAACCCGACATGCTCTTCTCACACAGTTTATGGTCTGAAGCTAATTTTTTTTTTAATGGCCTTAAAGTTAAGGAAAAACTTTGAATAATTTAATGTGAAAGCAAGTCCATCTTTTTCTATGATTCTTGACTTTAAAGTTTGTAAGTTTATAAAGTCTTCCCACTGCCACAAACAAGACACTGTGAGGGAAGGAGGTGGTGTCATCTTTGCTTTTACAGATAGATGAAAGGAAGACTAGAAAGGTTAAGTGTGTACTTGCTCCTGTTTCCACGACATAGTGACATTAGTGGAGCTGGTATGATTCAAGCCCAGGTCTTGTGATACTGCGTCCACCTTGATTCTGATTCTCACAAGACCTTATGGCTTCATTGGAACAATGCTGCACCATGCTAATGAGGTAGCTAGACATTTCCTGGGGACCTGGCCTCTTGGATCTCTGTTCATCTCACACTGTTTGTGAACAGCATTGAGTTTATGTTCAGCTCGGTTTACCTATGGCTCTTCGAAAACTTCCATTTTGACTAGAAAGCCAATTCCATAATGGAACATTACTAAATGAAAGAGGTCTTAAAATGATATTCACAGGTCAGTAGCTCATGGTTAGGGGATGCAGAATATGACGTAACGATTGACCTTGGGCACATTATTATTTCATCTAAGCCTCTATTTCTCACTGGAAAAATGGGAATGATAATAACTGCCACATAAGTAGTTGAGATGAGTAAAAGAATCTATGTAAAGCACACAGTCTGGTCCATAGTAAGCACCGGAATTATCAATTATTATCTTGATCATGATGATGGTGATGCTTTGTCCCTGATCTGGCTTACTGGAGATGCAAGACATATTGTGATCATCGTGTCATCCCTAAGGTCTCTAATGCAGATTTCATTGTGAAAATGTCATTTATAGGCCACACATCTGTCTGACAGATTGAACTAGAGATTTAGCCATATGTCAGCATTAAAATATTTTTTTCTGTTGATAATTTTTTTAATTGTTTGATTGACACAAAAGAGCATGCAGTCTGCTGAAACAAAGAAAAACCATCACTGGTGTTTTATTTCCAAATGTTCCAGCAGTGCCGACAAGCCATGACCTTTTCACTTAACTCTCTTTAGGGTTTGATGCCTACTTTACATCCCGCACACTTGAAAACAACAGAAGAAACGTGTGGTTTGCCGAATACTGGGAAGAAAACTTCAACTGCAAGCTGACGATTAGTGGGTCAAAGAAAGAAGACACAGATCGCAAATGCACAGGTAATTTCACTCTTGTTGTCCTTCTCCTGTCACTCTGCATGACCAGCATTGAAATGTCTGTGTAGCTGACAGAAGGAAGCTTGGCTGGAGACAAATTGAAAAAGTAAATTGGATTTTACTAGATTGCTCGGAAAATGGAACAGGAGCATAAGTCTTGCAGGACAAGAGAAGTACAGACAAGATTATATTCTTTTCTGCCCGTCCATCTAGCAGTAATTGACATTTTCATTGATTCTTTGAATCCAAAAGGTTTCATGTTGCTTTGAATGCTCTCCCTGGTAAATATTAGTTCATGTTGTAGCCAGGAGTATGAAGTCATTTTCACATGGACAGAAATTCTGACAAATTCCATCTCAGTACTGGATTTAACTGTTACCGTGGACAACATTTTTGATTAAGGAAATAAAGTATTGGGTTTAGAGTAATGAGAATTCCAATTAATTTTCATAATGTCCAAGTTAATGAGTCAACTGCTATTTAAAATATGCTTAAAAATACTCACTTAGCCTCATCTGTGACTTTGCACAAGTGTTCCAAATGAAAAACACTTGTGTGTATGACATGTATATGTATTTATAAATGCATGAAGTAGTCAGAAGGCAAAAATCACATATTTATTCATTGATTCATTCACAAATATTTCCTGAACAACTCTTTTCTGCTAAGCACTGTGCTAGACATTCGCAATCTGGTGGTGAAGAAATCAGGTAAGGACTCTGCTTTCATGCTGACTCAAGTATAATGGAGGAATATCAACATTATTCTTGTGCTCTCTCTATGAATGCACAATTGTAAACTTCAATAACTATTCTGAGGGCTATAAGGACACATAACCAAGGAATTTCACTCACGTGGGAGGCAGAAGCTATCTCAAAAGACCTCCTTGAAGGATAAGTAGGCATTGACCGGTTAGGGCAGGAGAAGGACAGATTGAAGAATTTCTGATAGAATAATGTGGTGAAGGGCTTGTAGCAGGAGGAATTATGGTGCCTTTTAAGATGTGAAAGTCAGGAAAATGTGACTGAATTACAGAGAATAGGACAAATGTGTGAGCTGAGGCTGCAAGTGTAAGATATGGACCAGGAATAAACCACGTTGGGACATATGTGGAATGTGGTCTTTATCCAAGAGTCCTGGAAATCATGGGAAGGTGTTATACAAGAGTGTGACATGATTTACCATCTGATCACCTAGCCCTCTATTTAACAGGATTCCCCAATTCTATACTTCGGTAGCTTTCAATTTTTGTAATGATGACCTTGAAGTACCACAAAACCTAAAATATCTTCTGTATAATCAAGAAAAGCACGTTCATGTTGGACACAATTCCTGTGTTTATCTTTGCAGTATAGCTCTTTGAATATTGGTCATCCAGGTATTAAATCTGGACGATCAGATACACCCATTCGAAAAGCATCTATCAATTAGCAATAACGCATGTAAACCATGATACTAAAAACACCGTGAATGGTGAGGATGCTTCAGTATAGGCCTTTTCCTCAAGGAGTTTTCTGTGAAGGAGAGAGAAGATATAAACAGAGATGTGAGGAAAAACAATGAGACAAAATCAATATGATGCATAATTGAATATATAACTCAGTTAACTAGAATATCAGATTAACCACATTCTCCAGACCATGGTGTGTAGCAACAGAGTTTTCAGAAATGTGATCCTTCTAATGTTGGGGGAAAAGGAAAGAATTAATTCAATGTTGACTAGACCTATATGACACAAAGCTTTCAACTGGAAACTGAAAAAATTAGTTTGACATCTGGATAATTTGTCTATATGACAAGGAACATCCAAGTGTACTAGAAGCATCTAAATGATTGATGACAGTTTTTTCTGACGTTTGATGTTCCATAGTGTGTCTAGGAGGTGGAATGGATTGTCTGATGGCCATTAGGATTGTTCTGTCTAAGGCCAGCCTCCAGTCTTTTTCTATGCTCCAACACAGGCTGTTTTATCCGTAGTCACATGATAGTGCTGATCATCGAGAATTTGGGGTTAAAAAAACAAGTAAGCTCCTTATCCAAACTACCACATTTCAGAAATGGAAATAGAAGTGTTTGTGTTTTCATATCATGCTCCTTCCATGTAAAACAAAAATCTATGATCATATTTATTAAATTGTCTGTGGCTCCAAATTATTTGTATGTTTTCTCCTCTTTCTTTCCTTCCTTACCATTTCTACTGTAGCAAGATGTGCCATATTGAGTGGAGGTAAATATGGTACCCCCATCGTTGTGTCTCTTGCTCTTACCATCACTGTTTGTGAGAACATGTGTGGTCATGTGTTTGTTTTTCTTTCTTTTACTTCCTTTTCCAAATCTAACTAAACTTGTATTTTGCTTTGCAAGTATTCCCAATATACTCTTTAAAATATCTTGACATTTAAGTACATCTCAACTTGGAAGTGGAGAAATGGGAGAAAAGTCATGCTGAGATTTGCTGGACTGGAGGGAAAGAAGTGATAAAGAAACGTGACAGATTGAGTTGTATTAATGAGAGTTCTTGAAACTGTGGTGAGAAATTAACTTTTAATGAGGGAAAAGAAAGCATGGGAGAGGGAAGCATTGATGGGCTTAAGGATATGGATGATATAAGGGAAATCTGCGTTGGTAACCAGAATTTGAAATGTTAAAAGAATGGGCACATTAGGAAGAAGCGACGAGAAAGGAGGCAGGCTGAGTAGTGTGGCATCGCAGATAGTGCAGACAGTGGATATGTTGATCTGAGGACTGAAGAAAGCAGCCCACTTCACAGATCTCTCGCTCTCTGACTGAGCTCTGCTAAAGAGTAAGAACGTCTTTAAATATTTATTCCTAGGATTCAGGTACAAGTTAAAAGGAAAACTTTGTTTCTGGGCAGTATAGCCTCTTAAGTCATAATGAGCTACTTATTATATATATTAGCTCCAAGTAGATCATCATTGAATCAATTACCTGGCCAGACAAGTTCTGAAGATGAGGTATGGGACTCATACCATTTGGAGAGAGCAAACTTCTGCAGTCAGGGGATAATAGTGAGTTCTAAAAACCCAAGACGGTAAAAAGTCATGGAAGGAAGAGTAATTGTTAAAGAAAAAATATTTATTATTAAACATGAAATAAACTGTGTAGACTTCATAATTTAACTTGGGGCCATATGTGCACGGATTCTTATAGAAACTTACCTGAACAACCATGTAATTCTTATTTCTATAAGTTATCCATGTGCATTAAAAATCACCTTCAAACAGAAAATGCTATTACATTCTTCAGTATTTAAAGAACATTTCAATTTTCCAAGGTCTCTCAACCCTGAGAGCTAGACACTCTTCATCCCACCTTCCCTGGTTGTTGTCTATATTGATATAGATTAAGGCTTGCCAGAGACCCATCCTGCTCATGGATTATCTTGCTGCCATCCCACAAGAGGACACGGAGTTGAGCCAGTTTATTGGTGGTGTAAGCTTTCACAGAAAACACAAACTCTACTTGACAGGTACTCATGCCATTCATGCTACTTCACAGTAGAGCTACATTTTCTCATGGAGACAGTGCTAGCTGCATAGACAATAAAGTAAGCCCTTCTAGCCAGTTCACCATAGACTGCTTGGGTTTGTGGGCAGAAAGATCAGATGTGATTTTCTCAGGTTATGTTTATGCTCCCTCACCCCCACCCCACCGGCTGAGTGTGTTCACCCTTAACACTTGCCAGTATATCACTAACACAAAGACCAGTTTACAATATGATCTCTTTGGGAATATCATGTTCTTGTGGAGATACCCAGGTCAAGGAAAGAAGGGAAGTACACAGGGGAAGTGATGTCTCTGAAAAAGAGATTGAGGCCTTCTTAGAGTCAGGAAAATCATTCTACCAAAGTGGTTAAGAAACCAGCAGTTTTGGCATGAAAGAGACCTGAGTTTGTGTTCAGGGCTATCCCTGAAGACGCCTGTAGGAGATTGGGCAACATTATTTAACCTCTCAAAGCCTTTCCTCATCTTTGAAATGGGGATAATAAACTTTATTTACATCTAAAGTGGTGGGCATTAAATTAGATGATTCATGTTATCTAAAGAAGATCTGAAACGATACTGATATCTAGTAAGAGCTCAGTAATGGCGATGGTTATCTGGTGTTCTGGGCTGAATGCAGTTGCCTGTGAGGGTTTCATGAAGATCATATTGTCTTATGTCAGTCCTGTGGAAAATCAAGATATATATAAAATTCTAACAGGAAAATAAAGCCAGAGATTTGAATAGGAACCTAAGTGTAGAGAGGAGATTTTCACTGGGATGCTCACTACACAGTGAATTATTGAGGTATCAAAAAGATTGCAGACAGATGTAACTTTATACTATGAATGGAATATGAAGCTCAAGGCTTGAGGAATGTCAGCACCATAATGCAGAGTGTGTGTCCAAGCATCATCGGGCCTTGGACTTGCCAAACACTCCATGTCCCAACTTTTGTACCATTTTATCCCCGCTGTTCCGTATCCTCATGTGGTTAGTAGCATCCCCAAGGTCTTTGCTCCTAAACCCATTCTTTAAACTCAGAAGGAAGTTCTGCGAATCTGAATGTGCTTGCCTATGGCAGCCCATAAAAATTATCACTCTGTCATATCTTATGGCTTACACAGAACATTTGTCTAACCACATTCCTGTTCTGCCAAATGCCACTTTGTGAACACTGACTCATCAGAGTTACCTCTTTGAGGCAAAGAAGGAACTCGGCATTTAGAAATCCATCATCCCGTGAAGGGGCAATTTGACTTTCAGAGATTTGTTTTCCTTTTGAGATGACAGAGAATGAATAAATTTGTGACAGTTTCTTTAGTAAAAAGCCATTGTATTCCATTACTACTGCTTTCAAGTCACACCATAAGCAAATTCAGTTTTGACTTGAGCCCCTAATCAACCAGTGTTGACTGTGGAAAGATATCAGGGCCTAAAAAGCATACTCTGGTGAATGTGCACATTTGGGGAGGTCAGAATCCTTAAGCTTTGTTTTT